TATATATATATATATATATATATATATATATATATATAACCGATATTATGCATAAAAATATAAGTAGTTTGAGAGCACACATGAAAACTGTGGGGGGCGCTGATATTTCTATTCTGATTTCTTGGCAGAATCATGCTTAATGTAGATATTATGTTAAAATGTAATCTGATTAGATTTAGGGAATGTAGAAATTAAAAAATGTCTCCATGTTTTGTCCTTATTAGAAATGATTCACTTTAAGTAGTTTCTAACAATATTAGAATTTATATTTTAATTTATAATTAGTCAAGTTTAAGGATCAATTAAGGCCACAAAAACATTTGCAGTAGGGTCTAATCTACAAAATACAAATATGGACACACTTTGTTCATTGTTCTAGAAATGTAACCATAACTTCTGTCATGCAGTCATATTTCCTTTAAAAAAACAGTTTATCTTTGGTGGTTTTGAGAAATTCAGAGGATGCTGATTGCCTTATGAGTGATTGCATCAGAGAACAACAATTTCATAGTATTTTACAAGCATTAGCAACACATCAGCTCAAAGAGCCAAGAAGTAGCTCTGTATGATTTAGTTGAAAGAGCTCATTATTAATTTGGATAAAATAAATAATCGTTTAAATCGGTTAGCTATTTATCTTTGATTACAGGAACACAGAAAACTTAAAACTCAAAGACCAAAACTAATTATTCGACTTTGAGAAATGTATGGGCTGGGTCACTTCTGAAATTGTGAAAGCGCTGTTATTGTTTAAGGCATGTATTGGTGGGTTATTAAAGTATTGTTGTCCTGTCAAAAGCTGCAGTTACTGATTGCACTTTCAATTGTAGATTTCATGGCTTTGTCAAGGCATGTTCTATCCACAATCGAATATTGGTTTGTAGATTATATGCACATATTTGTTTCTATTGCAGTAGATGAGCAGGTGCACACACCTGTCACACACACTGAACCATATTCAATTGAGGAGGAAGAACCAGCAGAGCTTGAATTATCTGTTGCCTCTCCCATTATATATATTGCATCCGTATCAGGCACAATAGAAACATCATCTTTGCCATCTTTTTTGTTTTGAGCTGATGTTCTATTTTCCACTTTGTTTTTGATGTCCTGTTGATATGCTACTGTGATGTCCTCAGGACGTATGCACCCCAGTCATTCTTCCTCTATCCTCATTAAGTCAAAGAGCTATTTGTTAAATTTTGATGGAAGATATTGTCCGCTAATTAAATTATCAAGGATGTTTGAGGACAGCTGTCTCATAGTTGAGCTGGTGGGAGTG